AACCCCCAATGTCCTGCAAGTGTGGATCCATGAGCAGATCCCATAACATCCCTGCGAAGAGAAAAAGGCACATACAACTTGTTGCCAGAATATATCAGCCCTTTTGGGCTGCGAACACAGTCAGGCAAAGAAGAGATTAGTTCCGTGTCCTCGTCAGAGAGAGCCGACACATATTTGTGAGTCTAAGCCCCCCCCATGTCAGGCAGAGCGGAGGGGATAGGGCAAGCATAATAAAGGGATTTGAATAAGGTACCAAACCAATGGAACACTTTCCCGCTGGCGGGTAAAAGGAAACGGCTGCGCGCTCACACCCTGGGAACACTGCTATCTCCAGACATAATATAGGTGCAGTTCCCAGGCTCTAAAAGCAACAAGCTAGCATTCAAGCTCACCTCCTACACCACGTCCTCCAGATGTTTGACTTAAGCATTACAGCAGAATAAAATACAGGCTAGCAGGCAGAGGGGGGGGAGGAATAAACTGTACAGCCGTACAAGTAACACAGAACACAATGGCAGCTTGCTGACACGATCCCCTGGAATTACAGCTGGTCTTCTGACTGCAGAGATCAGTCCCTGTCCCGGGAGACCCCCCCACCCCTGGGGACCCCAACAACCGCCGAAGAGCAGGGAAGGGACCCAACGGCTCGGCTCCCAGCGGTTTGAGCACACAGATCGTAACACCAGCAGGGCAAGACCCTCTCAGCAAGCACCGCCCCGAACCCACCCCAGGAGCTGAGACTCTGGTCCCACTGAAGGAAAGCGGCAACCACACCCCAGACGCCCAGGGAGGGAGTGTCCGTGATGATAAACGAGGGCGGGGCCAAGCTGGGAGGAGGGGAGGAGGGGACGAGGGGTGGTGCCGGGAATGGAGAGGGAAAATAAAAGAGTAAGGACGGCTAGAGAGAAGAGGGAGAGCGGTATCCTCCGCACGGGGCGGAGGGACTCAAGGGGTGCCGTTCACCCCGTCTCCTGCCTATCTGAGGTCCTGGCTCAGCTCCCTTTAGCAGACCACCTCCGACTCCCGGCGTCGCCTCACCCGCCGGGAAGCCAGGCATCACGGCCACCGGTGGGTTCCCCCCGAGCCCCCAGGAAAAGTGCGTCACAGTTCCCCTGGAGGAAATGGCCGCTTGGGAGGGTGGACGCCGTGGCACTCCACACCACACAGACCCCTCCCCGGGCTCCGCCCCCATATCTCCAGGATCCTCCCTACCCAGAGTTGGCAATGCGAGGCATGGGGAGGGTGGCTGAGGTCAGAGAAGGGACAACGGTAGTGCCTCAGTTGCTGTAGACTTTCCAGGCTGTCTGGCCGTGGTCTTGGCATTGTAGGACCTGACGTTTCGCCAGCATCCTCAGAGGTATAACACAGAAAGATGGAGGACTCTCTGTGTCAAGGTGAGAAGAAAAATGGTAGGCAGGTAATTTATATCTACTCAGGAAGGTGGGGTAGGGCTGAGTCATTATCTTGTAGGAGTTCCCCCAGGCTGCGAAACATGCTAATGGAGGAGCTTTCCTGAGGAGGTTCTTTTGCATGTGGATTGGCTGTTGAAATTCTGATCTTATCTGTAGGGCTGTGTTTTTCAGGACTTCTTTCCTGTTGAAATTGTGTTTATGTTTATGAATTTCAGTGGCTTCCTTGTGTAATCTGACATGGTAACTGGATGTGTTGTCCAGCATTTCAGTGTCTTGGAATAAGATACTGTGTCCTGTTTGAGTTAGGCTATGTTCAGCCACTGCTGATTTTTCAGGTTGGCCCAGCCTGCAGTGTCTTTCATGTTCTTCTATTCTTGTCTGGATGGCATGTTGTGTGATCCCACTGTAAACCTGCCCACAACAAGTAGTGCCCTTTCACCTGTGCTTTGTGTGGGAGCCGGAGTCTAGGCCAGGGCTGGGCTTCCCTCCGTGACTTCCTCCTTTGCTCTTGTGCAGAAGCAGAGCCTGTGGGCGATGCAACGACCCCCTACGGCAGGGTCCGAGTCCCCGGAACAGCCGGCACGGAGCTCCCCCACAGGGGGCCGGTCTCCTTCCCGTGGAAGCTCACTGGGACACCTGGCCTGACTCAGGAGTTCCAGCACTTTGGAGTAGCGACCATGAAGCCCGGAGAGACGCCAGCCCCTGCGACAGGCGGACCTGGGATCGAGGTCTCCAAGCGGCCCCGAGAACCCACCATGCCTGCTGCCTCTCCCACGGGGACTTCCAGCCTCTCCTGGCCCCTTTCTCAAGGACTGGAGCAGCGGCTGGCACCCACTGTGCCAAGCGTCACGTCCGGAAGCCCCGGCGACATGGGTCTGCCTGGACTCCGCACCCTCCCGTACCAGCCCAGTCTACCAGGGCTGGGACCCACATTCGCAGGTAAGCACTGCAGGGTTGGAGCCACGACAGCGAGCGGGCATGCCCTGAGCGCGTCCTCTGGTCCAGGAGACCCACGACCTCATGGGAATGCTGGAGTCACAGGGCAGCCATGGCAAGGGGGAAGCCGGGGCTGAGGTTGCCGGCCCTGTGTTGGTAAATTTCTGGAGAATTGGGGGAGGATACATTTCTCCAGGGGTCATTTCGTAGAAAAAGAGGTGCAGGAGCTCATTAGCATAACTCCTTAGCATAACTCATTAGCATATGCCGCACCCCCTGGCATCACCAGAAGTGTGTCAGAAGGCAACACCCACCGCTCAGGCAGGCTCCACTGGACTGTTTTGGATTGCTAGCTATTGGGGGGGGGACGTGCAGATCTGTCCTTGCAGAGGAGGGAGAGCTTGTACCTGAATAAACCTTGGTCTTAAAGGTGCCACTGGACTGTTTTGGATTGCTAGCTATGGGGGGGGGCACACAGATCTGTCCTCGCAGAGGAGGGAGAGCTTGTACCTGAATAAAAGTTGGTCTTAAAGGTGCCACTGGACTGTTTTGGATTGCTAGCTATCAGGGGGAGACGACGTGCAGATCTGCCCTCGCAGAGGAGGGAGAGCTTGTACCTGAAGGCGGGGGGGGGGGGGGGACAACTCTGCAACTTACCTGGCTGCTTCTTGCTCCTCGTGGCCCAACTGAGGGCTGCTGGGAGCAGGGGGCGGGGCTTGTTGCATGTGCCCGCCCCCTAGGCTCCTTACTGCCGGAGCTCTGCTCCTGTGCGCTCCCGCAGGAAATGACCCCTGCATTTATTTATTTTATTTATTTATTTGTTTAATTTATATCCCACCCTCCCCACCAGGGCAGGCTCAGGGCGGCTAACATAGAGATGTAAAACATTTAAAACAAGAGTTGAATAAAATCAGGTCGATACAGTATGAGTATAATTATAAAATAGAGAGATATAAAGTGCTAGTTTGCATCAGATGGCGGGCATAGCCGCACTCTCCGGTAACAGCCGGCTGACGTCGTAGTCTGGGTTGCTTGGCTGTTAGCAATGATGTTAATGTTGGTGTTGGGCCAGGGCTACAGTTGCTTGGGCGGCGGCCCCTATGCGAAGGCCTGGCGGAAGAGCTCCGTCTTGCAGGCCCTGCGGAACTATAAGAGGTCCCGCAGGGCCCTAATGTCTTCCGGGAGCTTGTTCCACCAGTGCGGAGCCGCCACTGAAAAAGCCCTCATTGCAGTTTAGGGACCCCAACCGTAGTGCTCTCTGGGGAACATGTGGGGAAAGGCTGTCCCTTAGGTATGGAGGACCCTGACCATACAGGGCTTTAAAGGTAAGAACCAGCACCTTGAACCGGATTCGATATGCGATAGGCAGCCAGTGCCGTGCTTTTAGCGCAGGCCGGATGTCCTCCCGCATAGGGGAGGGGCCTCCCCTAGTGCCAAAGAGTCCACCCTCCAAAGCAGCCGTTTTCGTGGGCTCGGGCTCAGGGGGAGAGGGCCGGAGTTCAGTGGGAAAGCAGACTTTTTGACCTGGGTTGGGTTTGTGAGGGGCAGCAAAATGTACTCCCGTAAAACTGTGGTCAAGAAGGCTCCATGCCGCCCATCAGGCCAACCGGAATCTGTGTCTCTTTATCCCCCCCCCCACGTGTCCTTCGCCCTTGGTAGGGCCCACCCGCACCCGAGGCCCCGACATGCCCCGGATCCTTTGCACTCAGGGGCAGTTTGCCTGTGAGCTGTTTGGTTGCGTGGAGGCGTCCTTTGTGTGTGACGGCCAAGAGGACTGTCTGGATGGCTCTGATGAGATGCGCTGCGGTAAGTTCCTGGCTCAGTGGGAGAGCATCTGCTTGGCATGCCGAAGGTCCCAGGTTCAATCCCTGGTATCTCCAGTTAAAAGAAGGATCAGGCAATGGAGGAATGTGGGAACGCTCTGCCCAATGCCCTGGAGAGCCATTGCTGGTCAGAGTAAAGACTGACCTTTGTGGACCAGGGGTCCGATTCTGTCTAAGGCAGCTTCCTGCGTTCCTGACAACAGCCATTTGAGAGCCAGTTTGGTGTCGTGGTTAAGTACGCGGACTCTAATCTGGGAGAACCGGGTTTGATTCCCCGCTCCTCCACTTGCACCTGGCTGGTGTGACCTTGGGCAAGCCGTAGTTCTGATAAGAGCTGTTCTTGAAAAAGAGCAGGTCCTGTCAAGAGCTCTCTCAGGCCCACCTCCCTCACAGGGTGTCTGTTGTGGGGAGGGGGGAGGGAAAGGAGTTTGTCAGCTGCTGTGAGATTCCCTTGGGTAGTGAAAGGTGGGGTATAAATCCAATCTCTTCTTCTTCGTCTTCACTTCTACAGCTGCCCCCCTTTTTCCGAATCTGCGCAGATTTCCAGGTGGGCTCAGCTACCTCCAGGCAGCCCTCAGCAAGGGTGCTCTGGATGTTTTGTCAAGACGGTGGTGATTTTTCTTTTTCTGGACAGGCGGCCCGACAGTTGCACCCGTCCCTACAGCGGCTCCCCTCTCTCCACTGGGCCCTCCCAGCGCCTGTTCCGCCAAGCAGTTCTCCTGTGGCAGCGGGGAATGCCTGGCCCTTGAGAGGCATTGCGACCTTCGCCCGGATTGCCAGGACGGGTCTGACGAGGCCAACTGTGGTATGTGGGGAGTGCGACCGCATTCCCCACGAGTGAGAGGTGCCCATGGCCTATCACGGGGGGGGGGGGGCGTGCAGGAAGAGGTCTATTTGGCCCTGGCTGTGCTGCTTAGCGGGAAACGCAGTCCGGAATCAGGTTGAACCACAAAGCTAAGGGTCGAATAGCTGGGAAATCAGTTCAGAGTTGCTGCGATCAGGAACAAGGAGCGGTTGCTGCACACCAGGGCAGACCTGAGTATGCGGAGTTCCTGCTGCGCTGAAGCAGGTGTGTGAAGTGTTTATGAGCAGGTTCTCCCTTCCTGGGAGTCAAGTCTGCCAAGGCTTACAGCCCTCCCGTTGCCTTTGCAGGAGCTGCCGTCTGGCACTTCTTCTTTGCTCCTGCATAGTCAGGCTCTGGCGTGCCCTCCGTTTGGGGGGGCACTCGGGAGGACTTGGCCTTGGGGAGCCTGGCCTCGGGGTGTCTGCAGCTGGGGGTGCTGGGCCAGACTCAGGATCCATCCCTCCTTCTGGCTGCACCTCCTGTGCAGCTGCTGGGGACTCCTCCTCCTCAGGTGCTGTTGAGGGTTCCTCCTCTTCTGGGCTGACTCCAGAGGAGGCTGGGCTGCTCCCTGCCTCTTCCTCATCCGAGGAGGAGTCGGCCTCAGCAGAGCCAGGACCCATGACAACTGGCCCTCGCATTCACAGAATTTGTACACGTGTTCCTTTAGAGTTCCTGCTGCGCTGAGGCAGGTGTGTGAAGTGTTTATGAGCAGGTTCTCCCTTCCTGTGAGTCAAGTCTGCCAAGGCTTACAGCCCTCCCATTGCCTTTGCGGGAGCTGCCGTCTGGCACTCCTTCTTCACTCCTGCATAGTCAGCCTCTGGCATGCCCTGCGTTTGGGGGGCACTCGGGAGGACTTGGCCTTGGGGAGCCTGGCCTTGGGGTGTCTGCAGCTGGGGGGTGCTGGGCCATGCGCAGGATCCATCCCTCCTTCTGGCTGCACCTCCCGTGCAGCTGCTGGGGACTCCTCCTCCTCCTCCTCAGGTGCTGTTGAGGGTTCCTCCTCTTCTGGGCTGACTCCAGAGGAGGCTGGGCTGCTCCCTGCCTTTTCCTCATCCGAGGAGGAGTCGGCCTCAGCAGAGCCAGGACCCACGACAACTGGCCCTCACATTCACAGAATTTGTACACATGTTCCTTTTTGGCATCTGTGACGTTTGGCAGCTTGTGTTTATGTGCATCATCTGTCGTCATTTTAAAGTTTTTCTATTATGGCCTCTGGTAGTTGGAGATGCCTTCAAGTCGCAGCTGATTTATGGCGGCTCCACTGTCCGCCTCTGCATCATGGCCCTGGACTTCCTTGGGGGTCTCCCACCCGAATACTGGCCAGGGCTGGCCCTGCTTAGCTTCCGAGACCTGCTGGGATTGGGCCAGGGCTCCTTATGGCTCAGGGGCAGGGCCTGAAGATCTGCCAGTGTCCCAGGCCTCCCTGAGAGGGCCTGGTGGTGCCCTGGCCCAAAGGGGTGTGGCTGGGATTCTGTGGCACCGGAGAAAAAGGCTCGCTTTGGACCATGGCAGGGTGAGCGCTTCCCTGTGGATGGAGGACATTTCTGCTCTGGCCCCCAGGAGGTGGCCAGGTCCTGCCCTCATCCCGGCATCTTCCTTCCCTTTCAGTGGACTGCATCTTGTCTGCCTGGACCTCTTGGAGCGAGTGCAGCCGATCCTGCGGGTTGGGAGTGACCTTCCGCCGCCGGGACTTGCTCCGCCATGCCCTCCCCGGGGGCCAGTGCGACCGAGACGAGTTTGACAGCCGCTCCTGCTTCCACCGGGCTTGCCCAGGTAGCTCCTTCCTCTCCCTCGCCAGGGGTCAGCAGCGTGACCAACGGTCATCTAAGTTTTGTAGGCTTTCCATGGGGGGGAGGGGCGGTGGCTGAGTGGAAGAGCCCCTGCTCGGCGTGCAGAAGACTGCCGGTCCACCACCTCTTGGGCACTTCTAGTGAAAAGGACCGGGCAGGAGGTGACACGGAAGACCCCTCTCTGCCTGAGACCCTGGAGCGCTGCTGCCCCGTCAGAGGAGGCAGGACTGGTCACCACACCTCAAAAAGGATATTAGAGCACTGGGGAAAGTGCAGAAAAGGGGCAACTAGAAGGATTAAAGGGTTGGGACACTTCCCCTATGAAGAAAGGTTGAAGCGCTCGCGGGTCTTTAGCCTGGAGAAACGATGGCTGAGGGGTGACATGATCGAGGTTTACAAGATTATGCCTGGGATAGAGCAGGTAGGGAGGTACTTTTCTCCCTTTCTCACAATACAAGAACTCGTGGGCACTCCATGAAATTGCTGAGTGGTTGGGTTAGAATGGATAAAAGGAAGTAGTTCTTCACCCAAAGAGTGATTAACACATGG